GCTGAACTAGACAAGGGGCCCTGAACTTGCCTGAGCATCCTTTTGCACTACTCTGAAACTTCACTCTCCTGCCAATCCGTATCTGCAGGATGTGAAATGAGAACTTCCCCACCAGTCTGTGAAGGAACATGGTCTGTTAAGGTTGAACACATACCGGAGTTCTTACCAAGGAGGGAGGCTTTGGCAACTGCATTTTGTCTCTCCATCCACAGATCTAACCACTCATTTCCCTCTCGTCCCCAACTTCTGAAATGGCTTAATAATTTCCACTGTACTTAACGCAATGAAGAGGAATCAAAGACACTGAGCTTTCACGTACACGAGTGGGTGCGGAGAGATCTGTTGGATCCCACGCTGTAACAGAGGCTGCAACAGAACTAGGCCCTTTTCAAACGTCCAAGAACACCCACAAGTTCTCACACTCTCACCCTCTCACCCACTGACTCGTCAGCTCCTTTTCTCTCTCTAGACCACTTGTCCTTCAGAGCAGCTTCACCCCCTCAGCACCTCTGATGCTGCGCTCAGAAGGTGCAAACTACGCATCTCCCTTTGGCACTAACGACCCCTTGGTGATTTTTCTAGGCTTATTTCTCTCTCACGTCATACGAGGAACACCTGCATTGGGCCGGAGGTGCGCAGAGAACCTCCCCAGCTCCATCCCAAGAGCTGCCTGCCCCCACACAGATCCATCTGGCTGCGCCCAGCACCACGCCGCCTTTTAGATTGGGTGGCCCAACCCTCCTCGCTCCAGCTGGCTGGGTATTTGCCAACAAAGCACAGAAAAAAGTCACTGCCTTTGAAGGAGGCTTGTTTGAGGGACGAGGAAGAGATTTGCAGCTGGCATGATATGGCATGGCCACATGCTGCCACCCGGAGCCCTTCTGTGAGCAAGGCGTTTGCTGTGCATCCCCTCCCTTCCCTCTCACAGATCCAGAGGCTGGCAGCAGAGAGTATTATCAGCCTCAAGCAGCCTTCCAGGAGCTCCTGCCTTTAAAGCCCTTTATCTCCAGGTGCGGGTCTTGGTTGTAGGGAGATAAAGTGGTCCCCATCTCCCCCCTGGCTCCAGCCTTCCCCTGTGACCCAGACATAGAAAGGCAGCCTGAGAAGAGGCTTTTTGTCAGCTTTTCTCCTCCCTCCTCCCAAAACCTCAGAGTACTGAAATAGCTTCTAGCAAAACAAGCCTAGAAAAAAGCCATGCTCCTCCATCCTCCTCTTTTTCTTTTTTTTAAAAGACCTGGAGAGATTTTAAATAGACAGGGGGGATTTTATTTTTATAGCCCCTGGGATGAAGAGAAAGGGGGTGCAATCAGGGAGGGAAGATCATGTCCTTGCAGTGGGAAATCACCTAGGCCATGCAGACAACTTTGTTAAGCTGATTCTGTCCCCAGCGGGTCAGGAATATGCTGCTTTGCACATAAAGGGGCACTGAAACAACCCAAGACACCTTTGTGCCAGTCGAAGTTCTTACCAGGTACCAGACTTGCTTTGTCCTCCTTTTCTGGAGCCTCAACCTTTTTCTTCTGAGGGGCTGAGCCGAAGAAGACACCCACTGGAGCCCATTCCAGATACAATGGCACAGAATGAAACTGTAAAGAGAACAGAGGAAAGAAATGAAGAGCAGAGGGGCAAGGCCTGAAGAATAAGCTCTGCTTTCACCTTCATTTTCTTCTTGCTCTGTAACAGAAAACAGCAGTGGAAAGGCTCAGCAACTTTTTCAGCTGGCTAAACTCTCTTCCTCTGAAGAAAAGCCCATATCCAGCCTCTGTAGCTCCCTTCTGCAGCTTCACAACTATCCAAGATCTGCACTCTCCAGGCAGCCACATGCCACTCGTCACGCTCACCTTGGTGTAGGCCAGCTTGGTGAATGCTTGCTTGGCCTCAGTCGGCTCCAGGAACTCCACGATGGCCGTGATGCCTCCTTTTGGCAGCAGGACCCGGCCCAGGCTGCCATGTTTGCCGAAGACATCCTCCAGCTCCATGATGCTCGTGCTGGCCGGGAGGTTCTTCACCAGGATCACCGTTTTACTCCGCTCACCAGCGGCCTGCCATGTTTGGTGGGAGAAGAAAAGGAAAATGAGATTTCAAAAAGCAAATCCCAGTATCTTACTAAGGAGAGATTTCAGATCCAACACGCCACCCTCTCTCTCTCTGTGTCACCCCTTTCCAGGCTCAAAGAGGGCCAAGAGCCATTTAGAAAACACTTCCTCTAAGAACACACTCCAGCACAACCTCTCTGTTCCAAAATACTCATGTATGGAGGTTTCAGCTCCAGATCCACCCTGGCATAGACACGGGACTCCTTTTCTGCCTACAGCAAGCTGACCACGATACTATAAACCATTGTACTCTGTATCTCAACCACCCGGAGAGCACATGTGTTTTCAGTTCCTAATCCATGTTCAGTGCTGCAAAACACTGGAGATTTCTTTACTGACTTCAAAGACATGAGGACAGTAAGACTAGGTCGACACGTAGAAGCTGGCCATCTCACCTGACTGAAGGAATCCAGGCTGACTCCATTTTCAATGAGGAACTGACGGATTTCCTGGACCAGCTCGGTTTCTCCCAGAGCGACCCTCACTGCCACGCTGTCTTTACTCTCCTGCAGGAAAGAACGTCAGTCTCCTGTTGCTCTCAGAAGCAGATGCAAAGGGAATCTGGCAGAGAGCTTGAAGGCAAAATGCTGACAACTGCTGCAAGTTTTGCTGTTGGGAGTCAGAACGCTTCCCAAGGCAAAAATGAAGTTTCCAGGAAGGATCTGAGCTTTAGGATGTAAAATCCCATCAACCTCCAGTTACACAGAAATGCAAAATTCAGCCACAGAGTGGGAAGGAGGGCTAGGAGTCTCACTTTGTCGTCTAGTGACAAAGGGATTGTTAGGCTCAGATCCTGGAGAGAGGCTACAAGACCACTGATCTCTCCACCTGCGTGGTGCTTGTTTACTCACAGAGGCTTTTGCTGCACAAAAAAAAAACCCAGAAGGCCCTGGGCCCAAGGAAACAGGTAGGAAAGCAATCTCCCATCCCAGCTGATCAATAACCCAACTCACATGATCCAGCACTTGGCTTTTGGAAGCATTGTACTTCTGAGCAATGGCATCAGCCACAGCGTTTGTCCCCACAAACAACGTGTTCCAGTTGTGAGAGCTGGGAAGAGAAAGGAGAGAAAGGAGAGACAGGTTCAGAGTCACATGGTCCTTTCTTCCACTAATGCCTTTCTATTCAATGGTTCTGGGTAAAAAACAGCTTTGAATGCCACCATTAGCAGCCAGAGTGAAGAGTTAGGGGGAAAAAAGGGTGGAACATCCTTAGAGAAGGGAGAGGATGAGGGAGATGTGACTGGATGGCCAACAGAAAGGCAGTGGTACAGGCAGCCTAGCTCATCTTCCCTAGAGGTCACTGGTCTCAACTCTGCAGTCACAGCTCAGATGTTGGCTCAGAGGAACAGGGTTTTTCCAACTGATTTCCTAAAAGCCCAAAGCCCAGGCACACAAGGTTGTATTCCTCTCCCTTCAAGTTACAAAGTACGAGCCACTTGTTTCAAACTAATTTGTCCCATAGAAAGATAAAAGTTCCTACAAGTTTTAGAAATACAGGCGGACAAAGAGAGGAGAAAAACCCAACTGATCCGAAACCACTGCCACAAAGAATTAGAACATTAGATTAACCTTCATTAGACACCAGAGAAACAAACTTGTACACAAAACCATTCCACACCATGTTTCTCTCAATTTCTGGTGCCCACTGAACTACTAAAGCTACTTGGACCAAGAAATCAAGCAAGTAAGAGAAAAAGGAAACAGAGCTGCACAGTGAATGCTTTGGCTCTGGTCACCTATACAGCCCCTGCATTCCAGTCACTTGGAAATTTGGCAGGTCGTGCTGTCTTGCCCCACTACAAGACACCTCTGTACCTGGCACTGTTGGCTTTGTCCTTGGCCTCTTTCTGCTTTTTGTAGGAGGAAGATTCTTCTTCACCTACATCTTCAATTTTTTCCTTTCTTATTGTGGATGGTAAAAGATGCATCATTCTACCCTAGAATAAAGGAATAAGAGGTCCAGCAGCTCCGAAATAACCCACAGATGTTCATGAACTAAGTCGAGCGGAGAAAATTTTCTGGCACCTTTCCTAGTCAGGCAGCCTTGGTGGAAGGAGGGAAACTTCCTTCCCTGAGCAGCCACACAATGTGAGACAGACTCAGATCTTCCTCTCCACCTCAAGGCAGAAGAGACTCAAACGTTTCAGCAAATCATGGACGCAAACACTTGGCCACATTTCTAAACAAGCATTCCCACCAGCTGCAATCCAACAGCACAGGAAAACCATCACTGTACCTGGAATACTTGCCCATCCATTTCTGCGTAGGCCTTCACCGCGTGCTCGGGCATCATATAAGTGATGAAGGCGAATCCTTTGGGTTTCTTGGTCAGTCTGTCTATAGGGAAATGGATTTCCGAGAGGGGACCTGCAAAAGGCAAGGCTTCTCCGTGAGAGATGTCCTCGCGCAGCCATCACACGCTCTCACAACTGGCACCTCCTGCCCAAAATCAGGGAGGGCAGAGCAGCTCTGGATATTGCAGAGGGCGCGCAGCGAGCCACCAGTATGAGTGAGGAGCTTGCTGCCTGCAGAAGAGACTGACTGGCCCAGCAAAACCACTCAAATCTGTTGGTGCACCGCGTGGCAGCTCGCAGGGCCTGGACACGCAACACAAGCCTTCAGTCAGGAGTAAAGACTTCTACAACCTGCCCCTCTCTCCTCCACAGGACACTGAATGCCAAGAAAATCTTAAATTTGTTTAACTTCAAGCTAGAAAAGGGAAGCTTCAAGCTTCCACCTGACATGCCAAACACCAACAGGAATTTGCCGTGTTTCTCAGAGATTCACCTTTTACCTGCAGAATCTATAAATCTCCTGTGTGATAAGTATTTCAAGTAGCAGGTGCTTCTCCTCTTCTCCAGCCCTCTAGGACTTGGAGCCTACACCAACCAGCAAGAGCCTTTACCACTGCATCAGAGATGTGATGAGAGCAGTGGGGGCAGATGTTCACAGCAGCACATGCTTCGAGCAAACAAGCACGAAGCCACCATCAGTCTCCAAGGCAAGCAGCCACACACCACCACAGCAGGCAGTAAAGGTGACAAGAGTCAGTCCATATTCAAGAGGTGTGGGACCCAGAGCTTCGTCCATTCACCTCCAGCAAGAAAACCTCTGGGTATACAGAGGAAAGACACAGCCCTGCAAGTCTCAGTCCCACAGCAAATACTCACCGTACTTGGAAAAGATCTTTTCCAAGTCCTCCTCAGTGCTAGTAAAGGGAAGATTCCTGACAAAGAGTCTCCCTGATTCAGCCAAGTCCTCTTCTTCCTCATCGTCTCTCTTCCTTCTTTGCCACGGCTGGTTATCAGGTTTTGCCGTAACAGTTTCTTTTGGAGTATTCCTGCATCGGAACACCCCTACGCATCGTCCACCTAATCCACAAACACACACAGAGACACATCGGATGTTTCCCAAGGCCAGTGGCAACCAGCATCAATGTGCCAAGAGCCTAGGCTTACAGTAGTGACTATAGCAACTAAAATTCCACAAGCATTGAGCAGAACTCAGCCTGATTTAAAAAAAAACAGTGGAGGCTGCAAGAGATCAGTTTTCCTAAAAACCAGGATAATATTCGCTAGACAGCTCCAAAGTCTCCCTTCGTTTCAGAGAGGTCCAGCTTTTTCTGTCTGTCCAGCTGTCCAGCTTTTTCTGTCTGTGTCAACCCAGTTCACAGGCTTCCAAGTAGATATTCCCATTCCATACAGGATTTTGCAAATACAATTGTAGTAATTCCACTGAGGGCTAGGTCAAGAACAGGATTCAAACACAGACTTTCAGAATCGTTTGTACAACGGCCCTACCCCGCACTACCCCAACCAGATCTAAACGATATCTTGCGGAGAGCAAGACACACTTCAAGAACATGACAAAAAAAAACAACAAAGGGCCAGAAAGGAACACACGTAGCTCAGGCACTCGTCAATTCTCTGCTGCTCTTGACACAGCATCTGGTTTATCCTACGTCAGCTGAGCGGAGGAAACCACCCCCACCATCTGCCTGGGAAAAACTAAAACAACAGGAGATACTTCTGCAGCGAGCACTCCAGCAGCTGAGCACCCTGCCATCGGCATCAGCCCGAACAAGAAGGAAACAAACAGCCCTTACCCATGTATTCTTTTTTCCGCTTCAAGGCCCTTCGCACTTCTGCTTCGCTCCTCAAGTCAACAAAGACATAACCTTGGAAGAAGGAAAGGTTCCGCTGAGCATCATGTGGGGAACACACAACCACTAATTGGCTAATTAAGGGTGAATTGGGCTTTCTTGAATATAGATTCCTATAGATAAAGCATTCAGCTCCCATTAAAGTTTCAATCCAGCCTGAAAATGGTCATGCCGGACTGGAAGGCTGCCTTTTCAAAGCTTATTCTCTAGATGCAAACCAAAAGAAGCTCGCATTAACAGCTGAAGTAGCCTTTCACAGGCATCTCCAAGAGCAAACAAGAAGTGCATCCGCTGTTCAGCTGTGAAAGGAAAGCAACACATAGCAACGCTCCCTGCCAGCTCTGAGGACCTGCTCCACACTTTTTCGGAGGGGTACCTCCAGCAGCCACAGCCTGGCAGGAGATCCACATTGGCTAAAGACAGCTCTGAAGCCAAAACGCACAGGTCAGCCAAGTCCCCGGGTGCTGCTGCAGCTATCCCAAAGGAAGAGGCCTTTCCTTGGCATCGTTTGGGATGTTTTAGCAAAGTGCTCATTGCAGATCAAAGAGACGGCTCTTGCTGCTTCTCCTAAGGGAGCGCAGCCAACACAACTCTGCTCACGGCATCCTAGGGACAGCAACTAGGGCAGGTGAGCTGCAAAGTCACAGGAAGGTCTGTAAGAATCAGGACACGAGCCAGCAGAAACTGCAGATGAAAAGAGCAGAGGTGCCACTGAGGGGTCCTCTAACTCAAAGATCCATCTTCCCTTCCACAGAGACATTACCTGTATTTTTCCCCTGGGCGTTTTTTCCTATGCGGATTGCCGCTGGCTTCAGAGGCAAGAAGAATTCACGAATCTTTTGCTGCAGGAAGAATTATAATTGTTTAAAGAAGTCAGATATAGGATGCATCGGGTTCCAGAATTCATTTTTCTATACAGACTGTAAAAAACACCATGTGCAACACACAACATGTCTGCACAAAGCCAGCTCAAAAGTTCCCCCAACCACCCATACAACCCTCAAAACAGCTCCATAAGTGAAGACAGAAGCCTCTGTCAGCAAAGATCACAAGTTACACACTGAAAATACACCCATCTCTGGAACAAAGCCTACCTCAGTAATGTTGAAGGGGGCACCACGAAGTTCCACTGTGTACTGTGTGCTGGCTCCTGCTGCATTGCCTTGGTTCTGAACAGAAGGATAGACGGGGCAGGAAAAAAAAGAAAAGAGAAAAAAGGAAGAAGCTGAGGGAAAACCAGCAAAAGTCAATGCAAAACAAGCTAGTCTTGTCCAACAAACAGGAGGCTGAAAAAAGGGAAAGAAAATCAAGAGACTCTCACAACTGCATCAACCAGGACAGGAGGAGTCAGGTGAGGGTGCAAGGCTTGGCTGGGAGAGCCAAACCCAGTTGCTAAAAAATGAGTTCTGCAGAGCAACATCTTCTGCAGGCAGCGATGGACACAGGAAAGACTGAAAAGCCGCTAAAAGGGCACCGGGGTACTTGTTTGAAAGCTCTGCCTTCAGGGGCAGGGGATGGGAGTAGATTTAATGAGGACTCCAGAGGAGATCCAGCAAACTTTCTTAATGGCTCCTGCCCAGTAAAACAAGAAAGCTGGTACCTCGGGGGTAATGCAGACTCCAAGCTTTCAGCTCATCCCTGGAGTGACTGACAGACACACACTATCCCACAAAGCTCCTACTTTAGATAGGACAAAAGTCTAACTCAGCTATACCTCTAGTGTGGACCTTTTTTTCTTCTTCTCTGCTGCTGCCTCCTGCTGTGCTTGTCGGGCTTTTGGCTTCTCCTTTTCAGCTGTGTGGGTGCCAACGGTTTCTTCAATGCCTGAATCCTCCTCACTCTCGCTTTCCTCCTCACTGTCTGTTTCTTCCTCCGTACTGGATGAGGAGGAAGAATCCTTCACCACTTTAGATTTCAGGTAATCCATATCCGAGAGGTCTTTGCTAGTAGCTGCTTTCTTCCCTCCTTTTTTTGCTGTCGGAGAGGAGAGACCGGAGAATTTTTGCACACAGATGCTGCTGCTCTCTTCCCAGCCAGATAAAAGCTGAGAACTGACACAATAGTGAAAACCACCCTCCTCTCCTCTACCCTTTCCACTGGAAGCAAAGGCTTGAGAATAGCAGAGCAGTCTTCTCTCAGCGCCTCTGGACTGACAGGCCGGATCACCGGTTTTCAAAGCAACAGTTCCCACGTAAAACAAATGAGAAAGGAGCTTGAGGAACTCCACGGCACAGTATTGTGTCTCAATTTTAAGCGAGTACTTCAAGGATACCACAGAGAAGATTTTCAATTGTTCAGTTTAGATTTGCAACATAAAGGACAGAGGAAACTGTTCCTCCAAAACACCCATCCACCTCCTGCCAAAGATCAGCTGATCACCCCTACACTTTAATTAATCAAAGAGAGATGAGGAGGAGCAAGGAAAATTCACTCCACTAAAACAGCACAGGTAGGGAGAAAGGCTCCAAAAGCACATTTATCACTGGTGCAGGGACACTGGGTTCTAAGAAGGTAAATCACCAGACTGCAGCCCAGATTTCTCAGTCTTCTGAGTTAACCCACTACTCCACTAGATACAGGTTTCCCTTCAGGATCCAAGATACTGAACTCTGACAGGATCCAAGAACACACCAACATTTCCAAAAACATGCATCAAAGACAGAGCAGACCACAGACATCAGCTACAGGTCACCATATAAACAGAAACCACATCCAGTTCTGGAAATCCCAGAGATGAAGGCAGCTGCAGGCTAGGAGAGCATTTAAGATGCAGATGTTTGTGCTGTTACTCTTCCCTAGACATTGACTTAAGGGCCCAGGGGAAAGCACAAATGCCATCCTCTTAGTATCACAAGTTGCATTTCTCACATTTCCCCAAATTTGGGAAAATAATCATACACCTACAGCACAGAGAATGAGCTGCATGCTCAGGAAACCACCTTCCTGACTTCACCAACTCCGTTTGGAGGCAGGACTCCATCTCAGATCCGATCACCTGCTCCCACACCCCCAAGACAAAGACAAGTAACGAGTGATAGCTCCTTTTGGTACCTTTGGTGCCCCCCTCATCTTCGGAGGGTTCGTTTCCATCCTCCTCCTCCTCACTCAGCTCCTCAGACTCATCTGAATCAAAGTTGAGATAATCATCAGCCGTTGGCTTTGATTTTCCCTTCTTGGGCTCTTCTGCCAAAACATCGTTAGCCCAAGTGGCCACCTGGGACCGCTTCTGGTGAACCACCAAGAACTCCTGGAATGTTTCATCTTCTTCCAGCTGTTGAGAAAGAAAACAAGCAGACAAGCTGTGAAGACAGAAACAGGAGAGCTAGTAGTGAGTCTGAATTCAAAGATACCATTTCCAGCAATGTAAAAAAAGAGAAACACCCACACCCCAAAAGGGGAGTCTCCTTTACACTCACAAGGTAACACTTAAAGTGACTAAAGTTTTCTCGATACCTCTCAGTCCTATTCTTTCTTTTCTGTAACTGAATTCAGAAAGCACTTTAAGGAAGAATATAAAATGTTCAAAAAGGGGAAAACATAAAAGCTAACCATACGCAGGTTTTGTCACATTTAAGAACCAGAATTGGTGTCCTCAATGCAGTTTCTGCTCACAATTAAAAAAAAAGGTCCCCAAGGTTGGGATTATTTAAATCATGGTTTGTTACAACAGAATCGGACTGTCACAGAGTTGGTTAAATCACACACTTTGCCTAAATTAACAGCATGAGAAGCAGTACAGAAACAAGCTGTTCAGCTCTTACTCTTAAGACAAGCTAGCAAGAACCCAGGGATTGAAATTTAACCTCAGCTCACCTTCTTTAAGTTTTCTGCTGGATCTTTCTTCTTTTTATCCTGGTGGAAAAAAAAACAAAAACCACACAACAATTTAAAAAATGTTTACGAGAAGCAAGGCCAAGATATTTCTCAGGTAACTTAATACTAAAGGAAACATAGTTCCTAAGGGAAAAAATAGTAGAACCAGGACTCCAACATCCATTGTCCCAGCTACTCTGTCCTCTTCTCCACACCCCAGGCTCCCCCCTTCTCTCTGCCAAGTCAGAGCGTCAAGAAAACAAGCAAGACTCACTTTCTTCACGCCTGCAGAAGCTGCACTTGCCGTGGGTTTCTCGGTCTGTTTTTCTGAGGCAGGGGGCTTCTGAGCGTGCTTGCTCCACGCTTTGGGTTTTGAAGGGTCACCAAAAGACTTGCATAACTCAACCTGAAGAGAATTAATAAGCTCGTTAGTCAAGCATATATTCAACAGTCTGGTTCTGTACCTGCTGGATAAGCCACATTCAGGAACGGTTCTTAAAACCCTGATGGGATGGAGGGGGTGTGTGCAGAACAGGCAGCTTCACATGGGTGTTAATTTTAGAAGCACAGAGCTACATGTGCACTCAGCATGAGGAGCAATTTGTTGTGCTCATTTAAGTACAGCTGAATAAGTTGCCCTGTTTATCACAGTAAGATGAATTACTCAACGAAAAATGACCTCAAGTTCAGAAGGTCAGATTATAACAGCTCCAAATCTGACACTGCTGTTCCAACCAGTACTGAAATCCCTGCTAGTGCGCAAACACAGCCCACCTGTATCAAGTACCGACTCCAGCAACAAGGCCTGGCATCAGGCTTTGCTGCAGAGGGCTTAGTCTCCGGCTGTTCACCCTAAGACTAACGAAATCTCCAATAGCAAACTTCCTTAAGAATCAAAATAAGGTATTTTTAAAGATCAGCTCACCGTGACTCTGGAGGTGTCTATGAAACTCCTGTTGAAATGGTTCAGTGCCATTTGAGCTTCATCTTCAGACTTGTAGCCGATGAAGCCAAATTTCCGGAACTTGCCATCCTTGGTGAACTTCAAGCAACAATCGGTGAGTGTGCCGAAGGCGGTGAAGAGCTTCCGAAAGCGATCTTCCTTCATCTGGGAAAGGAGGAGGGCCGGAAGGAAGGTGAATCAGCAAGGCAATGAGAGATGCTTTGTGTCCAAAACAAAACATTTACTATGAGGGGGCTTCTGAAGTGCTGTAGGAACCCACGCCATGTCGTGGCAACACTGATTAAGCTACCAAACCGCTTCATCTCCTCCATGAATCCCCTACACACCTCTGTCTGCAATGCCCCTACAGACAAACGGTACACCCAG